GAACTCGCCGCCCCTCTCTCTCTCTCTCGAAACCAAACGGGAAATAGCGGGAGGATGCATTCCCGTTTCGTATTTCTGAAACGAGACTCTCTCTCTCTCTCTCTCTCGCGCGCGCGCGCGCGTGCAGGTGACTTAGCTGTTTTTCCCGTTGTGTTTTTTTCGTTTGTGTATTTCAATTTTTTTTTCCTTTTTTTTTTTTTTTTCACTACTGTGTCGTCCCTACAGAAGCGGGGCCCGGCGTCCGCGCTACGACCGGGCCTTCCCTTGGCCGACCCCCCTAAGGCTGCGGTGCGGGAAGGCCCGCGGCCTATAGCTGAGCGAGGTAAAATCGCTGGGAGAAATAGTAGACCCGTTCCCCCTGGCCGAAGCAAATGACGTATTAGCCTTGCCACACGGGTACTTCGGGCCCCAAATGAGCTAAAAAGAAAAAAACACTGTTTGTCAGTGGGTGCACGAGGCCTTTAGTTCTAGAGTGTTGGAAAGGTCCCCCGAGGAACTGGCTACCCACAGCGACTAGAATTCTAGGGGCTCGAGGCCAGTGCAACCACGCCCTCATTCTTACCCCTATTGCGACGGTGATGCTCTGATCGCTCACTGTCCGCTCGGCAGGGCAGACGTTCGAAACGTCAGCGGTGCCCCTGGCTGAGCTGGCTGAGCTGGTTGAGCCAGCGTGGGAGGTGGACGACGGACAACACGCTGGCAGGGTTGTCGATGTCGACTCTACCTCCCGTAGAAGCGCGGGAAACCCAACGCGGGAAACGCACCTCAACATTCTAACGCGTGGCCAAGGGCAGCAGCATCTGTGGTGAGTAGGGCTATTCTCCGTCTCCATCTCTTTCTGTGCTTTTTCTTGTTTTCCTCTTTAATAAACAAAAAAAATTGCATTAACTAACACACAGCCCGGTCTTTCTTCTTTCTGACGTCGTCTGATTCTCATAATCTCACCCCCCTTCCCCCCCCCCTCCCCCCTCTCTCTCTCTCTCTGTGGTTCTCATCATCACACCCTTGCTGTCTCTCTCTCCCTCTCTCTCTCTCTCTGTCTGGTTCTCATCATCACACCCCTCCTCTCTCTCTCTCTCTCTCTCTCTCTCTCTTTTTTCGTTTGTCCTTTCACAGGCGATACATAGGACGTAGTTGCACCACTCGCCAGCCGGCAAGATTGTCAATGCACTATAATGTTGAGATTCATTCAAAATACTTGCTGTCGGATGGGAAGTGGTGCAACTACTACCGGTAGCAGGCAGGCCCAGGGCCATATGATGCGGGGGCAATCAGTGTATCCGTATCAAGGGCCGCGATGCTCCCGCACTCGCCAAATGTGGAAAAGACAAAACGATGATGATGGATGGTAAAAAACTTAGTACCGTCACCTTCGTGCTGACGATGTACTCACCATTTTTAACAGATGTGGAGAGGAGGGCATCGCGGCGTAAATAGTAAAAATTGCCGGTTCTTGTATTATTCTGGGATAGAAAGGCGATACTCTCCTTAAATGTTAATAACTTATTAGTATGTTATTAGTATGTTAATTCACTCAACAAGATCACCGAGCAATTCTGACCATTGATCCGTGTAATTGTCCTCAATAATTAAGACCGAAGGTTATTATCGACGAAGCCACTCATCAAGTAAGCCACTTACTAGTATTAATTTACTATTAAATAAAAAATAAAAATGAAATAAAATAAAATTATCTTGCTGTGATTACGCAGGCAGGAACATGCTTATCCTTGAGATGCGAATTTGTGTTCACTGTCCTTCGGACAGATAAATTTTGAATGTATTATTTATATATAGTATTGAATAATTTTTCGAATTATACTGCAATACAATAGAACCGAACGTTAATAATAGTAAACAAGAGAACGATACACAGAAAGATCAGAATGGCCCCTGCCTCTCCCTCTCCTCCCCCC